AACGTCGTAACACTTGGTTCCAGTATTAACTCGAATGTATGAAGAGAAAGTAGCCACTAATGTATTGTTATATAAAAGAGAATTTAAATGAAACTAATATTTTTCAGATATAGTACGCGTGCTTTATTTTTTTACAAAACTACATAGATTACGAGCAGACGAAATGTGAACATAATGATCACGGTTGCTGAAAAGTAGCCGAAAAATAGCCCGTAGTAGTCCAAAGATATTGGTTTTATTTAAATGAACCATACTCGCGAAAGTCTTAGATTATTATGTAAAAAAGAATTGTTGAAATATAATATAAGTACATACTTGATTGAATTTAATTTATCTCAAATCACACATCAATTGATAATAAACTGTTGTTATACGACTGAATCAAAATCAATTGAATATCAAATCGTTTCAAATCTGTCCTTAGATGATTGTGTCCTATTTTCTATATATCTTAAGACTACAAACACTTCCGTATCAAGCTAAGAAACTCAAACAAAACAATCATTGACTTTGACGTTATGTTTTCAAACGAAGGTTCACGCATACTTGTTTACTTCATATGATTGTAACATGTTTACATCTCAGAATATATATAGATGTAAACATCTCAAATAATCCGCAGGAGGCCAGATAACAATGATTTATTTCACCTCTGACATATAATATAATTAATACGATAAGTAATGGAAACCTCTTCTATCATTGAACACGTTATCTTGTATCTGAATGTAGAACGTGTGAAATTCCACATGACATTGCATCACACGTTTTAGTGTAAATTACGTATAATTTTATATCATATAGAATTGAATAGTTGTAGAAAATTTATATAAAATATTTTTACGTATTCGTTGATATTATGGCTTTAAAAAAATCGATGTAAATAATCTATTAATTGTTTTTAACAAAAATCTTTGATAACTTCTATAAGTAATTCTATTTATATCCTGTTATAATAACAAATGTTTATGTTTTAAATTAATAAAAGGGAAATTAAATTTACTTTATTTACACATTGGACGGCAGTTTTTTTAAAGATTTTATCGATACAAATCATTTATATGTAATGACATATTTCATCTTCAAAATGATTTTAATTGAAAAAAAAAACGATTATCCTATTTTATAAAATGAGAATAAGTTTTTAAAGATGCTCAAATGAAAATAAATAATAATAATAACCCTTAAAACATTATTTATTTTTAGTTTGCTCCGTTGCTATAATATAAAAATAGCATAAAATACAGAAGGAATACATAAAAGTTTTAACTGCAAACAGATCTCTACGTGAGAAACCATCCGCTGTCTTGTCAATTATAATATTGGATTTGTATAAATAAATTGACTGCTTCATTCAATGAAAACAATATCCGTATTGAAAAACATATTATTGTATTAAAGTATAAACGTCACTGGTTCGTTTTAGGGAGCAATTATAATTTGATAACAGTATGGGGTGATGTGCGTGCGTCTTAACGCAAGGTTGATACTCCACGTCATTGCTGGCCTTTTGTTGTGTGCCAATTGAGTTTGTTTCAAAACATTAATACCGATGTTTGTTTTTAACCAGTCTGGATAGACTCGTCAATTATGTGAGACATTCATCAATCTGAAGATCAACTTAATTTTGTTATGACACATCCTTAATTGGAATCGTTTCTATTAATATAACGAGTTGAAAAGGAAAGTTAACGTAATCAGTATGAAAGAAGTTTTATATTAAATAACGGTTTTAAAATAACGGTTTAAAACAATAATTAATAGATATATCGTATATGCCGTATATATCTTGATTTCCTACAGCGTTACTTCCAATGGTTTTCTTTACCTTTTAAGTTCCATCCTGCTATACAAACATATAAACAGTCATTTGCTATGGCATACAGGTCAATTGATTAATCTACCACAACATGCCAGTTGAGATAGTTGGAAATTATTCTGATTTGTTTATTTGAACATTTATTACGAAGTTTTTTGTTAATGTATATCAATAAGATAAAATACTTTACAGCCATAAGTAGATGTAATGATGAAAATTCTGAAATTTATTATAACTCTCATACTAATCTTCTCATTTAATACTTCATATTAATTCATATTGTGTTATTTGTTCGTTATGCTTTACACATTAAGGCTTATTTTAACAGAAATATTAAACGACAATTAAAAATTTAACAACGTGTTTGTTCGTGATTTTTCGTTTTATACAATTTATTTTAAACTAGAGATTAATTTTATTGTAACACCAACGTACAAATTTTGGTTAAATATGAAAAAATAACGTACTAGAATTCAATATTTTAAAATTCAAACCTTTCAAAATTTCAAGTTAAATTGGTTTCTGTAACTTAATATATTACATTTACAATTAATTGTACTTATTGTCAATGTCATTGTAATATAATGTACATATTATATGTCATAATAATAATTTAATACATATAACATATCTGTTGTAACCCATGCGTATTATTTTTGGGCACGCGTTCATTGTTTTCATGCATTTCTTTTTTATTTCAGAATCCGATCTCACCGGCCTTTCGCATGTTGGTAAGTACTCATTTTATTTTATTTGTTTTTTTTTTCATCCATTTCCATATGTCAATGTACTCATGGTGACTGGCTTTTTATTACACAAGGTATTTATAATTATTATTTTTTATTTGACAATTCTTTCTAAAGATGTATAATAGAATACCTGAAATGAGACTAATATTTTGGAAGCAAATTATACACATACATACATTTTGTAGTATTATAGCAACTGTTTATAAAACGGATTATGCAGATCCAAAACAAATCTGTATTTATAGTATACTATGAGATTGTAAATAATTTTATCTTAATCTTATCTTTATAATTGTTTTGAATCATTCTACAGAGGCAAGTCATGTGATAAAAACAGTCCTTCTCTTAGATTACTGCATTATGATGACTCAATGGAAATCTAAAAATAAATCGTTTATTATATTTGAAAATGATTATAAACACACTTATACGTCGCAGTGTCATAAAAATGTTTTGTTTTTAATGATGTATATTTTTTATTAAACCTCTTATTAGTTTCAAGTCACTCTAGTTTACACTTAAAAGTAAAACGAGACTTAAAAATATATCTATCATAATAAAATTTAACTGGACTTTATTAAATTTATTATTATAAGATATAATAATTAATTTCTACCTATATTTCTTATACAATAAATTAAAACACCCTCTATTTACTTTTAGTGTTTATAAAATAAATACGAAAGACTAAATTTCGTGATCTGAATGTTGAATATTATTTCAGTTTGCGGAAATAATGAAATCAGGCACATAAAGTTATTTGAAACATTAGGTTTAAGAGATAATAAACATTACTTGTTCCTTAAATTGAAAATAACGAACTTTTTTTAGATCACTCATGTTTTATTCATAACAAGTTTTGACAAATTCGCAACACTTGGAATACAAATAACGTTTATTGACCTCTGTATATTAAGAACGTGCTGTTGGAAATGGTTTACACTTTTATATGCACATGAATTACGGTCAAATCAATGTTTTCTATACAGTTATTTAGATTTTGAACCGTTATGAGTTGCGTAATATAAAAACATCTCACTTTTGATTCAGTTGCCGTTATACGTACTGTTACTATTTTATTAGTTGTGTAAGCTTTTTAATATTGTGGAGCAAAACGTAAAAAACCTCGCCAGAGAATAATATGTATCTCTTATAGTAGGGTTGCTTATATTTGCTTAAACTTACTACCTTAAAATATATTGACGTGGTCGCGGGTGTAAGCGAAATGATGTACCGCGGCCAGGCTCGGAGCAGGAGTAGGTACGGGGGGTTTTTAGTCAGTTGGAGTTTGACACTCCCTCTTACCCCACCCAGGACAAGAGGGATCATTTCATGATTTTCCCCTTTAAAAAAATATATATTAACGTGGCTAAATGTAACGGTTCTTTATAATTAAAAATAAATAACTTAATGAAATTTAAATAGAATTTTTTTTTAGGCAAATTTGAAAAATAGAAAACTTAATAGTTAGGTCATTAAAGCCTTTTAAAAGTTAGAGAGATTTCATTCTAGAGTTTAGACAAACATTTGGCCTCAGTATACAACCATTCCATTCTCAGAAGGATTTGTACTTTCAGATCATTATGGTACAAAAGTTGATAGCGTTTAATATTGATAAAAAGAAGAAAGATGTGAGTTTATATATTATTTTCAAAATACATGTTATGCGTCTAATGATTATGGACGCTTTCATACTTTTATGCTACTGAATAGTTTTGGAGGGAAGAGACAAAAACTGAAAATTTTCACTTGCATAAGGTCAACTGATTTCGATAAATAAATTTTGGAGGACATTAATTGATGTAATAAACACTGACTTGCGCTTTCAATATATACATTGATATTTTATTTGGTTTCCCAAAATACTTAATAATAATACTTAATTTTACGTATATATATATTTTTCTAATTGAAAGTTTTCTTCGTTATAACGTTGAGACGTTCCGTGTTTATATCAAATGTAAGCTGTAATATAAACATTTTAAGACATTGAACAGAATCAGTAACAATAACATCTTCCGCGTACGTATTCTTTAGCTTGAGATTCATTTAACCCTTTCAGAACTGAATTATTTTTTTTGTGTCCAATGAATCTAAAAAAAAAAATAAGCTAGAGTAGAGTAAAAAGACTAAGGAAAAAATTATGAAAAAAATCCTGGTTGTCAGGTTTTTAAGAAAATAACGTTTTTCTTTTTGTGTACAAATGTGCACATCCGTCTTACGTAGTGATAAGACTGCTGTTCGGGGCTTTTCATTGGAATTATAAAATGTTTAATTTCTCAATGTTTTTATTAGGAAATAAAAAACTAACAAAACTTAAGTACAATTCTTATAATTATTAGCAAAAAAAAGATTTTTTCTTTGGGATAGGCAGCTAATTGGAACATAGGTAAATTAGTCATATGAACAATCAAAAAGCATGTTTCATAAATTTACGTATGAAATACTAAGAAACAGTTTTTATCTTTGGTAAGGCAAAGTTGAACTTTGCATTTTATACATTTAATCGAGGTTCTTCCCTTGCATCCAACCATTTTGCACAATGTCCCAAGTCCCTCATCATGTGCAGGAAAATGCCCAACACCGTCTTTTGCTAGATCCGCTACAGGGCGAATCTCTTCTGGTCTTCTTGGAATGATTTGCGGTATTGGGCTACTGCCACTGGGCCGTCCTCTTTTACCGATGATAATTTTATTCCTCAACACCAGACTTTCAGCCAGCTGACGACGAAATTGAAGCAACGTGAGTTGTTTATTCTTTGGTGTGTCTAGCAGCGCATTGTCAATTTGGTACTCTCGGTACGCCTACACTACAGCTAAATCAGAAGCATGAAATATCATGCGAAGAGTCCATTTTTTAGATTTTATGAAGGTTCTGTAGTAGCTCATGCGTTGATCTAATTCAACGTTCAACGTCAATAAATTTCTTATCTGTCTTACACCACCTGCTGACTAAATCTTTTTCACCAATACAAACAAAATTAGAAGTAAGATGGGTAATCTTATTATCGAGCTACTTGACCACAGTTACATCTTCGTCAAAACTACTTCTTGAGAAAATTCTCGAGGTCTTTTATTGTTTAGGAGTTCCTTGTGTCTCCACCTAATGTTCTGTTTAGGCTTAATATTCTGAAGTATATTTTCATGAGAGGATTCTGTTTCTGTTGTCGGTGGTACTTCGAGAACCACTTCATCGCAGGTGTCAGTAACTCCTGGATCATTCGTTCTAATCCACAATGAGCTAGGCCCTTCATCTTCTTCAGTGTCGGGTGTGAATACCTCTCGTTGGTTTTGATTGATGACATCTGCACCTACTCTGATAGACTGCAACTCTCTTTCAGATGTAAATCCAAACGGCTCTTCGTCATCAGACGATAGCTCCAAATCGGAAAGAGTTCCAGCGCATAGGGTTTTCAAGGCGTCCGGTGAAAACATATCGGTGTTTTTTTATCTCAAAATGTAAAAAAAATATTTTATTTCAACATATAACATATTTTATATAGCATAAACAACAAAAACATTATTATTATAGTTACAAACATATTCAAAATAGATTTTGCAAAATACGGCTTAAATACTTCAGCATTCGTAAAAACATTGTTTACGCCTGATGTGTACATTTGTGTACAAATATAAAAATTGTGATAATTGATACAAAAATAGAAAAATAAACTCAAATTATATGTTACTTATGACCTTAGGAATATAACACATCAATTCATATTTTTGCAGTGCGCATATTTAGCAATTTCCTACTTTTTAGAAATAAAAATGACGAGCTTACCCACATCGGTCCAACTTCGGTCAGCCACTGATCGAATCATGTCGAAAAAGTCACAAAAAATGCTAAGAGATAGCGTTAATAGTATACATTTATATAGTTTATTATGTGGACATATGAATACAAGCGTTCTCAATTGCACTTGTAACGAAATAAATAGCATTTTTTTTTATTTTATTTTATGTGTACATTTGTGTACGCCAGGTCTGAAAGGGTTAATATATTAATTTCCTGCTGTCGTGTTTATCAAAAAGTCAAGGCATTATTAGAATGTACTGATTTATTTAAATGTAAATATTAATAATATTAAATATTAGATTGAAAAATTATATAGAAATATTAATAAAATTTACGTGAACTTAAAACAGCTGTGAATTGGCTGTAAGCGTGAAGTCGGTTGAAACAAACTGTCCGGATACCATATGGTTAGTTGAAACTAATAATATTCCACATGTCATTCAAATGAGGTCATTCACATGGATGGTTATGAAAGGAATTTACCTATATACAATCTACTTATATTTCTACTTACAATCTTTTAAACAACATAAAAAATAAATAGTAATAGCACTCTAGTATCGTCACTTCGGGAACAACAATTTTCTTTTAATAGAAATATAATACTAATAAAATTATCTGTGTTGAACTTTCTAAGTAACTTTTCATGAAAAGTGTCTTAATATAATACTATAAGATCGTGCAATCCAGTCTTAAATTGCTACAATCCTTGAGATCTGCACGACAGAGTCTAATAAAAATAGATCACCTTGAGTGATAACCGAAATAAACGGTATAACTGAGATGTAATACTGTAATATACTAAATGCTTTACTAGTTCGTTGTTATAGGACTAATGTGCCATGACATTAACAACATTCTTTAAAATATTCTAAAATTTAAATAATAAAAATTAAAATAACCTATCCAGAATTAATTGTGTGTGTGTGTGTGTGTGTATGTGTGAATTTTATTTAGTTATACAAAAAGTATCGATAAAATTTTGTTGTCAAATTATTATTTGAGGGATATATGTATATATATGTTTTTTTCCATAAATCCTTGAAATTTTACTTTATTTTATACCTGTACTAGTTGTATAGTCACAGGATGAAACTAGAGAGTTATAAAGTAATTTCAGGAGCATAGTGTTTTTGTAATTACCATTATTACTTGTAACGAGATATTATTAGTAACAAGCGTTTCAATTAAAGTCCATGAGGGTAATTGGTGTCGGTAGCCTCGACAAACATTTTTCTAAATATTATATACCATTTTGCTGTTATATTTCACACTCGCTTTTTATGAACTTCCATTTGATTTTAACTAGAAATACATCCTATTACTTTATAAGAAATAAATCCTAATATTTTTTTAAATTATAAGCTTAAAAAGAAGCATTTCTACTATTACTCACAATCACAAAACAAGATATAAAGGTTTTATTGATCCCATTTGGTAGATTTCTTTTCTTACTGTGTATTAAGAAACGAGGATATTATACTAGATAACATTATATTTATATACTCTTGACCGCAATAATTTAAGATTAAAGTTATAGCTATATACCTGACTAAGCGGTCATAAATATTTAAAAAAATATATGAAAAAGAAAATGAAATGTAAAATTGTTCTGGAATTAAAATCCGTTTCTTAGAATTCTAAAATAAATATAGTTTAAAAGTTACTTCACTTATATTAATTAACAGTTTAAAGAATCGTATAGAATATTATTTTTGGCATTGCATCATGGCTTTGGTTTCATTTGTTGTGTACGCAAATAACCGCTAATGTGCAATAAAGGCGCTATTATTTGTTTTGGCTTTCCGCGACTCTGTCATTGATAAATATTTAACATATTCTTATATAAATTATTCGATAGATATCTGTCATTCAACGTATCTAAAAGAATACAATATATTGTAAATATAAATATATAATTTTGGTCATATTAGCAAGCCTACAATAACTCACATTTTAAATGCTCGTGATCACGGTTGCTGTAAAGTAACCGAAACGTCGGGAGTGTGTAGTTTATAATCAAAAATAAAAATCGCGTAGTACGTCCGAAAAATATTAGTTTCATTTAAATGAATACTCGCGAAAATCTTACATCTCATTTAGCCTACAATAAGTACCGTGTTTTTCTTTTGTTATATTGAAAATGAAAATTTGAGCGCTTCCAGCCAAACTTTGAACTTTCAAATAAGACTTAAACGAATGTCATGTGACAGACTGATGATTTGATTTGAATATATTATAATATAATATCAATCATATTAAAACCTGTTAAACTAGACTGTGTTACATAAAAGAGCTAAAGTTAACTTACAATCTATGAAAGGAGTAAGTTTTGACTTACTTCGTATAGAACTATAGCACTGTGTTTAACATATAAAATATGCCTTTAATTTTATATTTCTAAATAGAAAAAATGAGAGAATACTTTCGTTAATGCCCTCAGTAAACATAGAAAACTGTTATTTTTTTAAAATTAGCACGATTACCACGTGACGATGTGATGACACCTATTACTTTTTTGTACCAAAAGTTGCTAAGAATGCTATTTAAAAAGGTTTTAATGAAGTCATTATTTATATGACATTGTACCTTTGACCAGATGTTCTTTATGAGCTTTAATACATTCATCTTACGCAACAATTAAACATACTGTCTATAAAGTTGATAAAGCGGTTATTAACAGTGTAATTATATAGATAAGCAAACAGTTTACTAATTAATATACATAATTTTATTGTTGAAATATAATTCTATTGCTCAAATATTAGGTCGTATTCTATTCAATGTAACAATACCCGAAAATCGTCCGCAGTTAATTTACAAAGGAGATTTGATAATTGCGAATGATGTATGAAATAAATTAATATTAATTCCGTCTTTATGTCTATTGTTTTAAGACTCATTAGTAACCAGTCCTCGTCTGTAGCACAATTGGTTTGTTAGCTGGTTATTTTTATTTCCAGCGACGCAATTTGTTTTTCAGTCTGGTCGTCGTAAACAAAAACATGTCACTTAGTTTGTGTGTATGCTTTATTTTTGTTTTAATGTCATATAAATTAATATTTCCATTGATAATGATAGTAAATTTCCGTTGTAAAATCTCAATTTGTTACGTTTAATCAGTTATAATAACAGATATGCTATGAATAATACAAGAATAATATGTGTTGATTGTTTATTGGAAGTGTTGCTTGTGGATAAATATTATGACGTTATATTTGACGGGGTTGCCATGTTTATGTCATTATTTTGATTAGCTGACGTTGTGGGAAACGTTTCAAAGAAATGTCTAATAATGTAAATAAGATTTTCGCTTTGCAAAACAAACCGTTAGATACGGTTTGATTATTTTTCTAACGAAAAAAGATCTTGTGGTTTCTGCGCAGTACAAGACACTAAACATTATATGTTTGTAGTATTTATCGAACGTTTTATTACAACCGTTACAAACGAGTTTTTGTGGTTATTCTCAGGACTTCAATGAAGCTAGATAGAGTAATTGCTATAGAAAACTATGCTATAAAATTAAAACATGATAAAAGGAAAAAATATTGATATTATGCAGAAAGTAACTCAGGATTAAAATAGTAGCAAATAGTGAAATAAAACACAAAAATATTTACACTTGTTTCTGCGTCCTTATCGCACAACAAAAATTATAATTTCAAAGAAAATCTTATCATGGAGTAATAATTGCGGACTGAAAACGTTTGTTACACGATTTCATGGTTAAAACGACGTCACCGATAACGCTCGTGTAGAAATGTTTTGTATTAAATAAAATATACATACAAGTAAGAATGAATTTATACCAAGACTAGACTTAAATAAAAATATTATTGACATTTTTTTTTGATATTTGACAGAATTCTAACATATACATAGAAAAGGTATTATATACTTTGAAAGAATAGTTTAGTATCACATGATACATATTCATTTCAACTAAGGCTGGTTTTCAAGGTCTTCGTATCGTTCCACCAGGAAGAAAACCCGCATTGAATACCGTATTAATAATAGCGCTGTATACGCAAGCTTTTGCGCAATTATTTTGAATATCGTGACGACGTATTGCTTTATGATACAGCCGTTTTAAAAGTGATTTCAAATCATTGTGACGTGCATAGACATTGCATATGCATGTTATGGGGAGTTATTCATAGCCATTTAGAGATTTAATATTATTATGGAAAGTTGTCCATGACGTTAGCTAGGTTTTTCAAACTGTGAGTTTTATTTGCGCAAGAATTATAAAAATATGGCAAAAAATTTGAATATAGATTAATAATACTGTTTTAGCATATATTTTAATATAAATTAAGTATGAAAAATTGCCGCTTCGTAAACAGTTCACGCGGAAATATCTCATTGTTCGTAAACCACGTCAACTCTTTGAAAAATTCTAATATGTTAACAGCCGTATACCAAGTACCATTGATATGGTAATGACCAACTCAAATTAAAAAGCTATTCTCATATTATCTCATTCGTCTCATGATAACCGTGACTGATGGTCACAAAGGCGTTCATGACTTTTGTTTCAATAACAGTTTACCTAAACGTGAGCAAATGAGATCATTTCCAATGCATGTTTTAATTAATTCAGGTCACGAATAACATATCAGAGCTTTCCCAT